CCCCCGCTTAGTGAGAGTAGGCCCTCCAGGGTCTCTTCCGTTCCCTTTCCCATCCTCCTGTGCCCCCCCCCCCGCCCTGCAAGCGTTGGAGTGCCACTCTCATCCACCCCATCCCTCTCAGCACAGCAACTGGACATGGCACGATGCCCTGGGAGATTAACTTTGAAAGCCCTGCTAGATGTATCCCTTCCAAAGGAGATGCGGTGGGTGGCAGGGGAAACAGGGCTGTTCCTGTCATAGTGTCCCCGGTTACAGAATCTTCCGCCAAGAAGAGCATGACCGGGTCAGATCCTGGCAAGACCCGGGGGGAAAGATCTTATTCCACTTGGCTTTTAAGACGGGTGTGGGTGGGTGTGCATCCTTCAAAAGCAAACGATTGAACTGATGAACTCTGCTCATTCTCCGATCACAGAATTGAGGTGGAATTTCCATCCCACACAAGACGTATAGCTTCTTGGACACACCCCAAAGAGGTTGTTCTGAGATTTTCTCTTCTGGAGGGGTTAGAGGACAACTCGGGGGCTGGGCTGGGCTGGGCTGGGTGAAGGACGTTGTCCTCCAGCCTGCCTAGAGGGCTCCAGGTTGGAGCAGGCAGACTCAGAGGGCTACTTACAGAGCACGCGCAGAGTGATGGGTGGTGAGGCGTGACTTCCTTTCTTGTTCTCAGCCACACAGTGGAATGTCCCAGCATCCCCGCTGACCACTGCCGAAAGGACCAGAGTATCCTCCTGGCCCTGCTGTAGCCACTTGGCATTCTTATACCAAGTGTACGTGGTCTCCTCTTCGGTCCCCAGGGTGGTAGTGCAGGTCAGGGTGACTCGCTCGCCTTCCACCAGCTCTCTGGAGGGGTTGGCCACCACCCTGGCAGCTGCAAGGAGGAGAGGAGAGGACCATAACTGCCAGCCCTACAAGGTAGATCAGTTCAAGCAAGTGACTCCACAGGAAGGCTGTAACTCTCACTTTACTCAGTTAGGTTCAGGTCTGCTTCTGTTTTCCCTCCCCTCCCTCTTACGCCCCCTTGAGTCAGGGAGGGGCCAGCTGGAGTCTCTTCCTCATACTACGCCTTTCCCAGGGCTCAAGGAATGCTTCTGAATCTTCCCGGTACCAACCCTGTCTCCCCGAGCCTTCCTGAACGGTTCACAAGGGGCTGGGTCTGCATCATTCGCCCAGCACGCCACGTGGCAGCTTAAGGTGAGATGTGAGCCAGGCTCGGAGGTCTTGACGAGGGCAGGACATCAGTAGAAGGGCAAGGGGACGGTGGCTCAGCCCTGGGTCCCTCCGGCTCTCTTGTCCTGGGCGTGCAGCTTGGACGGGGGGCCCTTCTCTCAGTTCACAGACCAGACCATGAAATCAGCTCCAGTGGAAGGCCAGAACTCCCTTTGTTAAGATGGGCTACAATCTCAGAGTCCTGTGGGTCTGATTGTGCTGGACCTCCCCTCCTTCTTATACCACATTGGATCGGGGAGGCGTCCCTTCCAGATGTGATCTTGCTTCCCAGGACTTAAGGGCGTTTTAGCCCTCTTCATCTAGGAAAAGGTTCTTGTGTGTTTCTGCCAGGTCACCTCCTCTACTTTTCCACACGAGGACACTGGACACCAAAGCACAAATGGTGGCTAGTCCCAGATTCCACATGTGATATCGGTGTAAAGCCTCCCTTGACGAGGCCTGCGGAGGTTTCTCAGCAGCAAGATACAGAACTTGTGAATCATTGGCTGATTCTGAGATTTTTTTCAGATTCCCATTTTAACCTGCAGCTCTGGGATTCCCCTGGCGGTTGCCCATCCAAGGGACAACTGAGTCTGATCCAGCTTAGCTTTTTTCAAGATCAGCTAAAATTGTCTAGATGCTACCATCTATTGTCCCAGGTTTTCTTTGTATGTTCATCAGATCTGAGGAGGTTAGAGCTTGCACCACAGCCTCATCCAATTCCCACCCCAAAAGGGCAGAGAAGTATTTGGGTCTGCAGAGTGTGTTGCAGAGCTGCAGACGGCCTTCCCTGCTCTAGGCACACATCATTTCCGTGCATGGCAGCGGGACCCGGGGCTTTCCGAAGGTCAGGCCGCTTCCTAGCTGCACTCGGGAAGGTGGAGTTGAACTGGGCTCTGTGGCGTGCAAAACAGGGATGACCCCCCTGCGCTTCACCCCCTCCCTGTTACAGAAAGCCCATCTGCTCCCACGTCTGGGTCCACCTAGTTTTGGGTGTCCTTGGCCTGGTCCTGCTGGAGATCGGACTGCTTTACTGGGAACCACTGGAGGCGGATGGAGAGGATTGGTGGGGCCAGTTTGCTATGGAACCTCCCTCTACTTCTGAGTAGTAGTACAGCTCTGCCCCTTTTCCCTGGGGTCCTTTGGGTCTGGGGCTGTGCTTTGAGTAGCGCAGGAGAAAGGGAAGAAAGAACCCTTCCCCAATTCCAGTTATCAATGGGGAGGGAGGAGAGGAGAGGAGAGGAGAGGA